CAATGACGGATCCACGTTGACCATTATGGGGCAGTTGCCTCACTAAAGTTTAGTTTAATTTATTTTTTATGCTAAATATTAATTATTTTATAAAATATATATTATTAATTATATTTTATTTATTTTATTATATTTAATATAATAAAATATATTGATATTTTATTTTATTATTTAATTACTTTCACTCTATGATAAAATTATCTTAATTTTTTATGAGAAAAAAATTTACTTATTCTAAAAGTAAGTCTTGATAGATTTACTCTTTTCAATAACTAATGTTCTATATCAAATTATTAAAAATTCAACTATTAAATTAAAATTTTTTAATATATAGATCAAGTTTATAAATTTTTTTAAAAATTAAAAATCATGTGATACTTTATTAGATAGATCCAAAATAATATATAAAATATTTTTTTTATGATTATTTATTAATTTAAATTAATGAAACAGGGTATTAAATAATTTTTAATTTTTTTTATAAATTTTATAAATTTGATCTATACATTAAAAAAGACTTTTAATTGAACAACACAAAAAAAAAGACTTTTAATTGAACGGTTAAATACTTGATGTAAAACATGAATTATTGAGTGGAGTAAGTTCATCGAAATTTATTCTTGAAATAAGTAGATTCCTTCTTGTTTTTTATTATTATAATAAAATATATTTTTTTGACTAAAAGATTTATTACTTCTTTACTCATTAAAGGTGTTATAATTTAGTTTACTGATGTATGTTATTTATCAATTTTTATTTTATTTGTTAACCATTTGATCATGTATATGCATATTGTATGTTGGTATGCTGATAGGAGATGATCCATATTAAGAGGAATGCAAGTAATTGTTACACAAATTTTTTTTAACTTAAACATAGTTAAATATAGACATTCATGCTTATAAAAAAAATAGACATTGCACTCATGAAATATTTTTGTTTTAAATGAGTGTAGAAAGTTAGAAAACTAAAAGAAAATAAATTAATAAGTTTTATTTTTATCCTATTAATTTTTAACATTTTATTCCTCTAATATTAAATAAGTCACAAAAATTATAAAATGACACTTAAATATAATCTAAGACAGAAAGAGAAAAATAAAAAAATTATCACTCTATTTATAAGAAAATTATAATTTATTAAAATAAGGTATTTTAATTTTTTTCATCAAAAAATATATTTTTTTAGAATAAAAATAATATAGAATATTTTATTGCCCCCACTTAACAAATTTTCTGGATCCGTCACTATATATATGTGTGTTTTCATGCAAATTCTTTTTAGTAGCCAACAAAGAAAGAAAGTAGAAGGGAATAGATGAGTGAAATAGACAAAAAGATAAATAAGTAAAAATAAAGTAAAATTTTTAGTTGTTTTATTTGAAAAAAAAAAGAAAATTCAAAGAAAAATAATATTGTGAAATTGTTTGATCACTGTCCTCATTTAACAATTTTGCCTTGTATTTGCTCAATTAACAAAATGTTAACTAATTAATCATCTGTGAAATATTCAAAACTATTAAAATTGTAACCTCTACTATTTGAATATAAAAAATAAAAAAAATCTGTCACAGACTTATCAATTACTTCTACTATTTTTTAAAGATTAAATTAAATATTTATCCAATATTTTTTTATTATTCCATCTCAAATCGACAAATAATTTTTTATTAGACCCACTCATTTTTATTTTCTTGTCACAACTCACAACCTTTACCTAACCAAACAGCCATGCATTTTAAATTCTATACTATTCATGAAAAGATTATTTTCCACTTTTCAATCAATTCGATAAAAAAAATAATTGTTTATGAAAAAAGTTGATTTCATGGGAAACTAGGAGAAATTTATATACAACCTTTTTCTTTTCTGAAATTGAAAATTTGAAACTTGATTATTTCTCTACATGGTTTTTCCTTTTTATTTGATTTATTATATAAAAAAATGATTTTTGTTGTACGTTATATCCAAATGAAAGTAAATATTTTAAATTTTCTTATTAACACACTTATCTTAAAAAGAATTGATTTTGATTATAACCAATTATAACAATAATTCAATATTCATATAATTAATTATTAAAATAATTTAATTTTTACCACCAAAATCTCTTGTACGACCGAACCAAACGCAAAAGTAAATAATATAGTTAGGGGATACATTTTGTTTCTGTTTGATTTGGAAACAAAAGGAGAGTTCAAATTTGAATTACAAAGACAAAATACCATTAAGTTAATTTATATTACTGATTTTATTTTATTTTAGGTGATAAAAATTTTGTAATTTATTTTTTGTCTTAACTATTTTTTTATATTCTTATAGTATAGTTGTTTTATTTTTATAACTTGTTTATTATTTTTAAAAAGTATTAAAGTCATTTTACAAATAGTTTGTTTCTCATTTTCTACTCAGTTAAATAAGAGATGAGAAGGTTTTTTCCTTTTTTTTTTCGCTCTTTCTTCTATAAAACAATAATAAAATCATCCTACCTTTTATTTTCTTTTCTTTTTTATTTATTTTTCTTTCTGATGAGACAGTATTCGTAATTTTTAATAGAAATATGTACGTATTTATTAGTATTATCGAGTTCAGTATCTGAAGGGCAAGTTAGTACCACTATGAAGCATTGACAAGTAAGCTTTGTTGCAGCAGTTACTGCATCTGCTTGCCTCGGCATTTTCCCATGTCTGGTCTAATTGCATTCAATTTTTCTGTGCTCAAGAAACTGACTTCTCTTGCATTCAATTTGATTTTCATAGCATTTCTAATTTCTATCTACCAAAACCTTCGCTCCTTTCTTCCTTTTTTAGTTAATGCTTTTGTTTGTAGTGAGGAATGAATACAACGGAACATGAGAGAATCCGCAAGAATTAATTCCATCAAAAAATATGATAAAATATAATGAAATTTGTGATTGTTTGATTCAATAGAATTAAATAAAAAATAGAATGAAATTAATATTTATAATTATTATTTTATTCTTATTTTATAATATAGTTTGAATTAATATTTTTTATATTACGTACATTTCTCAAATATCTCAAGAATTCTTAATGAAGAGGATATAAAAAATAATGTGAGATTTTTTTTAAATGTCCTCTATCAAATATAATTTTCTTTTCCTTTTCAAATTCACTCTAATTTATTCTAATTCATTTCCTTCTTATTAAATAACCTTTATCAAACATAAGCTAAGGAAAAATGGGTAAAAAATAAGATAAAAAATAAAAATAAAATAAGAAAGTGAAAATAAGTAAAGATTCATTGGTTGAAGATAAATAAGAGAGTAAGAAATTAAGAAATAACAAGTTTCACATTTTTATTTATTTATATTTATTATTTTTCCTTCCTCTCACTTGTATTTATCTTATTTCTCATTTATTTCTCTTCAATCAAACAACTAATTTCTTACTTTATTTTTTTTAATCTATTTTTACAATTTTTTTTTATTCTTTCTCACTCTATTTTTCATCTATTTCTTTTCACTTTACCCATCACATACTTCATGTATATGTGTAGTTCGGTATTTATGTACCGTTGCTATTTCTAGTCTTAACTTCAACATGTACACTGTATTTGATAAAGAAAAATTGTAAAAAAAAAATTAAGAGAAAAAAATAAATAAAAATAAAAGTTACTTAATAATAGAGATTTAGAATGAATTAAATTTTTTAATAGGTTATTTAATTAAAAAAATATGATAAATATTTTTTATTTTTTATAATAGTTGTTTTATATATTTTCTTTTATCTTTTTTAGATTATTACTTTTAAAAAAGAAATAAATAAAAATTATATAATTAATAATTTCCTTCCACTTCCACAATACCAACAAAAGTGTAAATATACCATAAATCCTGCTAAATTATTTATATATTTAAAAAATTAAATATTATTTTCACAAAATGAAATTTCAAAGTAATCAAATTAAAAATAACACGCACGCACACGTAAAACAAATAAATTTATAGCTTTCTTATATAGTATTAATTTTTACATTCGTCAAATATAATATATAAGAATTAAAATAATACTTATAATTAATTAAATTGTGTATTTCAATGTAGAATCTACTCTCCTATCTCTTAAGAGCATCTACAGGGTTGGTTATAAGTAACCTCTTGTACCACGTCATGTTATATCAACACTTTTCTACTTTATATATTGCTTAAATTTTAGTATTGGAGCTTCTACAAGTAATTTTGCTAAAATTTAAGTAACTCATAAAGTAAAAAAGAGCTAATGTAACATGATGTGACACAAGAGATTGCTTATAAGCAACCACACTGCAAATGCTCTAACATAATGTTATTTATCATACTGAGATAATCTTGTATCTAGAAATAAGGAAAACAATCATTTCAATAATTTTGCAACTATATCTACCATTAATGGTTATACTACTTTTTATATAACCACTAGGATTAGTCTGATTGAGTAGGAAAGGATTCAGGTAATTAGAAGCACGAAGATCTAGGTTCAATTTTTATTGCAACAATAATACTTAAGATACAATTTAATAAAATACTAAAAAAGAAAATTTCTAATATTTCTTCCTCGGTGGAGTATTTTTACATGTACGGCCTATGGCTGTGGGAGAGGAGCTTATACTTGATAGGTTCATTGCTGTCGATCCAATCCCCTGGTAACAGTTTGTTTGGGTACATATATGATAAACACTTCTAAGAAATTAAAATAAAAATAAATTTTATAAATTAAAATTAACTTATACATAAATTATTTTGTAATGTTTTCGCTTGTTAATTCTTCAAAAAAAAAGTTATATTTTTGATTTATAGAAAAATCCACTTCGATTTTCTTTCATATTTTTATTTTAAAAAATAATCTAACCACACTGATAATAATACTTTATGGCGTTTTGGGCATCTATACGTTGTTAACTTAAAAAGTGAAATATGATAATAAAATAGGTGGTGGAAATAGTGGTGCCAACTAGAGAAGGGTATTATTATATTATGAAGTCGTGCACAATGGAAAAAGTGGTCAGGTGATTAATCTGTTCTGTTCTGCACACACATACAATACAACAAAAGCAACATGTCTAATCTGAACTCAATACAAGAAATCGAAGCATTAGAGGAGACGTCAATTCAACTTTTACGTTCCCATGAGAAACCCTTTTACCCATTATTTCGTGCTATCAATTTTGTTTCAATGTTTAACTAGTTTAGTACACGTCACAGTGCTTGTAAAAAAAATATATATAGTAGTACTGTTTACGTAAGGACAAATTGAAGAGGCTTGGTTCGTTGTGAATGAGTAAAATGGCTTCGAGTTGAACCTCTGAAGCCTAATAATTGTCTTTTGTTTGAGGCGTGCTTTGCTTTCTGATACACGCAAAACTAAAGCTCGTGTGTTTCTTCTTACATGTAAGAGATGCATTATTACACTCATTCCCTGTTCTTTACTTTGGAGGATAAAACTTTGAATTTATTCACCTTCACATATGTTGATTTTGGTGAAACGTGAGACATAATTTAATTATATTTCAAAGAGTAAAGACCCTTTGTGTCAAATATGACAAGCTCAAACAGTATGCCACTATTTGTATCTGATAAAACAAGGCTTTCAAAATCAGCAACAGTTGGGGTGGCGAAATTTGATGTTAAATGCAAGTGTTTATATATATGTCTCTTTTCTCAAAAGTGTTCATTAAGATTAGAATCTCTAACGGTGAGCCTTAAGCTACTTTTACAATTAAGTAATGGTGTGTCATGGTTGGAATGTGTGAGGTGGCATTCAGATATAAGATACTGTTGTTTATGGAAAAAAGATGGACCAGCTTGTACATATTACTCTAATAGACAATTTAATTTGCAAAACAAAAGTAAACCACAAATGCAGTATAGATTTAGCCAATGCGGCTCTTAATTGGGACATGTGAGTGAAATTGATGGAGAACTTTGAGTGGATTACATCAAGAAGTTCGATTATAGCTATGAAACACAGAGACATCTATATAACTTTATGACACTTGTTAATTGTCACCCATATACACTTATTGTTATGATACTTCTGCCATATGTGTTTTGCAATGATACCTCTCCACCGGATTACAATTAATTTTTTTTTTTAAAGTTCAAACACGAAGCTAAATTAGTGTCTTATCTTGTGCTTGACATTAAAGATTGAGGTAACAATTCTGCGCATAAAATTCATGTTACTTAACCGCGTTTGAAAATTGACAAATTAAATGGTTAACTAAATTTTATTAATTTTCAAAGTATGAGAGCTTAACTTGAACAAGTAAATTTAGAGGAATTAAAATCACTCATTTAATAAAATATAGAGATTAAAATACAATTAATCCTATTTGTCATGTGCTAACCACGGTATAATTATATAATAATAATAATAATATTATTATTATTATTAATATTAATAGTAATAATCATCGACGTACATATTTTGTTTTTTTAAAACGAAGGGTTTGGCGTCCTTGTTTTAGCCACAGAAAGAAAGGTACAAACATAAGATAGGGAAAAAAAAGAACACGTGATGTTTGAATGAAGGGAACATTGAAAAGAGTGGAAGTGGTGGTGAGGTATATAATCATGGAGAGGCACCATGTGCTGCTATCATGTGCCTTCTTCTCTGTCCATAATATGTTATACCCTCTTTTCTTTTCTTTTCTTTTCTTTTCTATACCTCTCGTCAAATTGGTGGCTTTGCCATTGCTATAATGGGCTGGATGAAGTATCTGACAATATCTTTTCACACCATCTGTTTTGATTAAAATATTACTGATTTATTCATGTATTTTCACAGAACAATTTAAAATAGAAAGAGAACTGAAGTAAAAAATTATGGAATAAAATAAATACTATGATCAAAATCGAGAAGGAATTATGTTACTATTTATTTTATCTAGTAATATAGTAATTGAAAGAGACACGAAAGTCGAAAGAAAAGGTAAAAAGAGGAATGCTTGTTGTGAGTTGCTGGGAGACTGAGACATGGGGAATCGAATTTCATTGCCAGTTAGAAGGAATATAAACAATAAAAAATAAAAAGTGATGGGTTTAAACACTTTTATTGAGATCTGAGTCTGCAGTGAACAATATTCCTTTACAACTCATACTCAGTGGTTTATACGCCACTATATGCAAACAAACAAACCTAACAAGTTTGCTTATTAACTCACTTTATATATCTATTATCTGAATGGTAAATGGTAATAGCAGTAATGGCTTTGAATGCACTTAAAGCTGAAGGACAGGTGAGAAAAATAAGGAACGGTTTGAAGTGAGATAGAATTTAGTGGACATGAACGTACATGGTACATGGTAGTGCCTATTATTAATGCATGTATCTGTCCCAAGAGAAGGGCAGATAGAGCACAACTAATTCATTAAAAATTGATATGGACGTAATTAAGGGCACAAGACATGCATTGAAGAAGGAGCATGTTAATGTAAGGTAATTGAAGAAAGAAAAGAGAAGTTAGTGTGGGGAAGAAACATGAGAAGAGCATTGTACCATGAAACTAGTAATTGCTCGGTGGGACGGGAAAGTAAGGAAACCAAGCTTTTCGGATTCAAGTACGTTTTTCTTTGTATGGGGGATTTCCGATTGCTCATGTACTTTTCCGTTAAAAAAAAGAGGTAGATGATAAACACACCTCCACTCTCGTATAAACACACCTCTTTTTTTAAAAAATATATATAAAATGTCTAAATTACCCTTAAAAAAAATGAAATTCCTAAATTTATACCCCCCTTCCCCGCACCCCACCCCACACCTGAGGCAAAATGGCTTAATTCAAGCTATGCCTGAAGATCTAGCCTGAAAGCAGAATCAGACGAGATCTGCAAGCTGAGACTTTGATTAACAAAACTAATAACAATAAATCTGTGTTGTTCATGCAACGAGTAAAATCCCTTAAACATATGCCACACGCATTGACAAAAACTAATTACAAAAAAAAAAATTAAAATAGCAAAAGCAAATCAATCTGGTTGTAGGCTAAACAGGAAACCCCAGAAATTTTTTTTAAAAAAATGCCAAAATCATTTCAACGATCAAATTATAGTCAGAGGACATCCAAATTGAGTAGCATCGCATCTAAATCAGATCAACATTGATTAAAAAATATTTGCTATGAAAATCCGAGCAGGGATTTCTCTAGATCGTAAAATTATAGCGTCGGAAATGAATCGAGGAACGAGGGATTGATTAAAATACCTTAAGGTACTTGAGTTTAATGCTTCCATAAATAATGCCAAAGGAGAAAGCAGAAGGCCGAGCGACCTTTTTAGAGAAAGAGAAGGGGGTGTGGAGTGTGGGGTGCGGGGAAGGGGGGTGTGGAGTGCGGGGAGAGAGGGTGTAAATTTAGGAATTTTATTTTTTTAAGGGTAATTTAGACATTTTATATATTTTTTTTAAAAAAGGAGGTGTGTTTATACGAGAGTGGAGGTGTGTTTATCATTTGCCAAAAAAAGAATATGTTATCGTACAATCAATTATGGGCTTCATCATGCCACGTACTCCTTTTTCCTTCACATCTTAACATAAAGCCCATTACATTTCCCTCATTTATTTAACAACTAGTATTATTTTTAGAAAAAATTTAGGTCACTCGAGTTTCAAACATCACCATACTTGACAGGTCTCAAGGTTCTATAAAAATTTATAAAGATGCTTACAAATTACTTACTAAAAAAAGTTTTCATATAAGCAGAAATCAAACTCATTCTTTTGAAATGAGTCTATTCTTTGTCAACTAGACTAATGACCTTTAGTTAGTATTTTGTTTCTTTATCTATGTTTTTATTTTGGTAAAGAAAAGAAGAAAATATCGTACTATTTCTACTCGTTTTGTTATCCTTTTCCTTCTGGGTATTCTAAACTGAAATTGAGTTCGATTTGTACATATCAAAAGAGAAGAAAAAAAATCTAAATAGCCAGGAAATTGCTGAAGTTTGATAAGTCCCAAACCAACAACGATTAAATTCAATACTATGATACATTCGATAAAAAAAAAGAGTGAACAAATATTAAAAAATAATACAAATGAGAGATAATCCAATTATAATGAAAGATAAGGAATATACTCCCTCTAATCCGTTTCTTAGAAAAACTAAAATAGAAGTGTAGCTTCAATTTTTTATAAAAATCTAGGGGTGTAAGTGGGTATGGATAATCCGTGAATCTAAACTGACTCAAATCAATTCAATGGGTTTGGATCTAATTTTTTCAATATTTGGATCTGACTCAATCTAACTTGATCAAAACTTGGCACGAATTAAATAATAGATTTTATATTTTTAACCCGTTACTCGATCCGACATAATCATATATAATAATAATAATAATAATAATAATAATAATAATAATAATAATAATGTTTAAATGATCATTTGCTCAAAATAATACTTACTGTCATTCTTACTTAATAACGACTTTTAGGTTTTAGGTTGATAACATTATAATAATATAATATATTTATTTTAAATTTTTTTTATTAATTAATTTTGATTTTTTGAGTTGATAATAATATAACAAATTAATAAATTTATTTTAAAATTTAATTTTTATCATTATTTACTTTATAAGTTGATAATATTGTATTTTTAACGATGTATCAAATGATTTATATTTATTTTGAACTTTTTATAAAAAATAAATAAATTTAATTATATTGATCCGATTAACTCAACCTAACACAACCCGTTCGTGATTGAGTTTTTAAAAAATATTGCAAAAATCGAACTCATTAAATTTTGATTGAGTCAAGTAACGGATTTATTCAAACCCAATCTAACCCGACAAACAGAGAGAAAGATTTGTAATGATTATTTTTAAAGATTATTCATAATTATGATGTTTAATAAAAATAAATAAAGAATCCTTACAATATTTATTTTGTGAAAAATCTATATGTACATGTATAAATAGTTTTATTCTAAATTGTTGTATCTTGTCTTAAAGAAGATAAAACTGTGAATCATACATAAAAATCCTTGCAATATTTATTTTGTAAAAAATCTATATGTACAAGTAGTTTTATTCTAAATTGTTGTATGAAAGAAGATAAAACTATTGTGAATCATACACTTTTAATGTTTTATAAGAAGACTTTATTTTTCAAGAGTACTTGAATATTTAAAGTCAAAAAAGATTTTGTTGTTTAAAAATTAAGGAATTAGTTGAAGAAAAAAAAAATTACTTAAGTTGAAATTCATTAAAAATATTCTAGTAACTTTGCAAAGTTAATTGTACTTGATAATGTAAATTACAAACTAAAACATAATCACAATTACATAGATCAACTAGTATAAAATTGTGTCTCATATTGTCTTTCTCCCCTTAATCTTTGTGATTCTTTGTTAAGTTCATAAAAATTGTTAAAGTTTTTATATATACAACTCAACCCTTCTTATATTTGTCTTAGCTCCACAATATATATATATCAAAAATATTTTATAATATTTGACATTCAATTTTATTTGAAACTCGCTAAGTACTTGACTGAAAATTTAGAGAAATAATGAAAATTTACAGATCTCCTACTTGAACAGCATAACAAATATAGAATAGCCGTGTTATTTTCTATTCAAAATTTTTGATTCAGCTCAAAAAGATCAATATTAAAAAGTCTATCATTAATTACCCGACCGAAGCTTCAACTTTTATTGATATGTAAGAAAATACACATACGTATATTCATATTATTTATCGAGAGAAATAAATACAATTGAATGACTTTACAACATAAAAAAGGTTAATTCCCGTTAAACATGTTCTTTACAGAATGCTGAACCTCAGACAGTATATAAACCTATTGCCATTCAGCATTGAGTCTATCTAAACACGTCTGAAATCAGCATTAGTTTGTTAATTACTAAGGATTGTACATCATTTTTATTATTATGATAACGATAATCTAGGTTGGCACAAGTACAATTTAAGTAAGTTTGGTAAACGATGACTGGGTCAAGTGGGGAGGGAATATCACGATGAAGATAAGACTATCTTTTTCCTTTTACTGGGATTGTTTGGGGTGCTACTGCATTCTGGGCAAAACCAATCATCCTCAGGAACATCTGATAGTGGAGGATCGCAGCAATCGATATGGGTGCCGACTCCACACCCGACGGAACCACTTATATCACCACAAATCAGCATTACTTCTCCTCTATCCCGGGATCCACATACTTGGCAAATTAAATCATCATTTTCACTGGAAGCCTCAGGAGTAACCACTTCTTCAACAATCTCTTCTGCCCTACTTTTAAGCTTATCAAATGATCTCTCTGCCCAAGCATGAGTGCCATATAATACATGTTTCTCAAGGGAGAACCCGGTCTTGCAAACATACTCAACCAAGTAGTCCGCTACAACACAAGGTATCTCATGTTTTAAGAACTCTTGGACCCATATATCAACATGTGGCATGCCAGGGCTAACTACCGCATAGTCGATCCCGGTACCAAGGAAGCGAGTATAAGGAGGAGAAGTTGCTAATATTGTTCCATCCCCAGCTTTGATGACACGTTTCAGAGTATCCTGTAAACACAATTAAGTCGGATAAGAAGAAATATACGGCATCTTCAACAATAAAACGCAGAAGGCGGAATCTCTATAAATACTTGTAGAAGAAAAACAAGGAAGAAAAATATAATAAAATAAGTTTTTCATAAGCTAAATTTGGAAACTAGTTATCATTAACGACCATCAATCACCTATACTGTAAAACAATCACCTATCTGTATAAAATATGTTCCAATATTTTTAGATATTTCACCGATATGTATATACGAAGTATCAGCCTTTAAAAAATCATAAAAATCTTTACATGAGACAATCGATCATAAAATAGAAACATAAAACATTGTCTCTTAATCAACCCAGAATAAAAATTATCTTCAAGGAAAGCATGCGATTGAATGATTGATACTATTCTTTATTTGTAGACGATGAAAAATGATTTATGATGAAAAATATTTATAATTTTTTAATTTTTAGTAATGTTTAAGAAATATGTTCTTAATTTGGATCTATAAAATTGTAATCACATAGTTATTATGTTTAATACGCAACTCTATTCGATATGTGTAAGACGCATCTGTGCATCATAGTTAATGACTATACACCTCATTTTTTGACACGAAGCATCATCAAAATATAAAGACCAGTCCTAAAGTCTACTAACAATTCAGATGAAGGTCATGGTAGCATTGGCAAGTAGTAAAAGAATATTAAACGAAATAAAAATTCAAAACAAAACATACCAAAGGTGGGACAATGCAATCGCCGTATACAACAATACGCATTCCATAGAATGCACCATGACCTGTTCTTTCTTTCAACAGCCGCCACTTTCTGGGAGCTTCCATATTGATTGCGCCATCCTCACTGAGACCATTCTTGTGCCACTCATAAGGCTCCTCTGGCAATAATTTTCCTGCTTGGCTACTGGCAGTTAAGAAATCAGTTTGAAGAATCCACCTGCAATCCACCAGACTTACGAGTATTTATATACATAATAAATCAAAGAAACCAAACTACTATGCTGAGCTGGTAATATGAAACGAAAGGGAAAGAGGATAACTAATACACATTCGTTTATTTTCAATGCACCCCTTCCCCACCCAACAATCCCTCCCAGAGGAGAATGAATAGTAACCCCTCCATTCTAAAAGCCTCTCGTTTCATGAGTATATAACAAAATTTTCCTTCGTTTGATGGCACTGTCATTTTTAGCCGGAGTTCTATACGAGCTTTATTTTAGTTTATGCCTGATATTCCTTACCTTCCAGATGCAGCAGCAGCAAAAAATTTCTCTGTCCTGCGTACGGGATCTGGAGCTATGAAGTGTGTCGCCTGATACGACCACTGGTGAGAATCCCGGCAAACCCTTCCTTTTAAACGCTTGATTACTTGTTGAAACTCTTTTCTCTGTAGGCGATGCCCACTTAATATAAAACATGCGGCTTCAGTTTTTACTCTCGTGTTGGATTCTGATATAGATGGATTAAGCCCCAGTTTCCTAGACTTGGTCTTTGCTGGCCTTAAACTAGATTTAACAGTTGGTTTGCCATCGCTTCTGCCCTTCACTTGATCCTGCTCTCCATCGATTGGTCTATTCTCCTTCTCCTCTTCAGCCAAATTCTCTGACTTATTTCTTAGTACGGCTGAGTTGTCACTTTTATCAGCA